GCCTGAACAGTTCAGGCTTCATGCAATGTAGACCCCTGCTTCACGGGCCCCTTTCTGTGAGGACCTTAATATCAAGATGTCTATTCTAACCCTAACGCGATCGCATGATATCTGCTATCCTACGAGGCAGGGGAACTGATCCTTCAGGATCTACATTGAACCCATAACCGTCGTCTCCTGAAGAATCAAAAAATCCTAGACCCCCCCTCAAAAAAACATAAAAAAAAACAATCCCAAGAACTAAACAAACTATCCATCTTCAACCTCTCAAAAACCTAGAACCCACCCAAAAAAAAAACAAAAAAAGCCAAGAACTAAAGAACCTACGCATACATCTTCAACCTCTCAGGAACTCATCTCATGAATCTCAGAGTGGCAAGACCCGGCCTCCAGATTCTTCGCCTTAGAATGAGGTTGGGGGGATGGGATTTAGGGTTTCTGGGTTTAGGGGTCTGGGGTTTGGGGGTTTAGGGTTTAGGGGTTTAGGGTTTAGGGGTTTAGGGGTTAGGGGTTTAGGGGTTTAGATTGAGGGTGTAAGGGCTTCGGATCGCTTTGAGGGTTTTGTAGTTCTAGGGCTCTAGGCTTTGGCCAGGGGGTGTAGGGATCCTACTGTGAAGCATGCCACCTTTTTATGGGGACCCCAAAACGCACATAAGCATTGCGGGCTTCATTACAAAGGGGGTGTTTATATGGGACATCCCTATCCTAATGTTTGCTTATGTGCTTTTTTGAGGGGCCTTATTTTAGGGTCTCTGTTAGGTTCCCCTGCTTTCTGAAACTCCCACCACTACAGCTCCACGCCCACAGACACCACACACACACACACACAACATCCCCAACCGGCAGCTTGGTAAACCTGTCAGCACAAAGCCCTAAAGCCTCGAAGGTCAACCACCTATAAACCCTGCACTCTCAACCCCCGAAAGCCCGAAATACCCCCAAGCCCCGGCCCTCATCCCGAAAAGCCCTGAAACTTCAAAGCTTGGAGCCGCAAACACTGCACACCCTCCGCGGTCCGCTCCGAAGCCCATCCAGACCCAACGACCCAGATCCGTTAAGTTCCAAACGCAGAGACTCCTATATCCCTTACTTATAAGGAATATGCCTTAAATCGTATTAGGGATCGTACTTATAATTGAAGGTATATTCCTTAACTAGGGGATATTGGAGTCTCTGGGAACCCCAGGCCCAATGGATCTGTAAAGCCCGCAAAGCCCTTTAAACACACACACACCCTAACCCCTAAACCCTAAACCCTAAACCCTAAACCGCAACCATCTTGAAGGCTTTGACACATTCGGAATCTCGGAACCCACTAAATACCAGCTAGAAGGAGTGAGTCCGAGATGCACTGCGGTGGTAGTAGTTTGGCTTGGTCACCACCGTCCTGCTGTAGCAAAAAGTTCCGACTGCTTAACATATCTCATAGCTCAGGGTCAATTGTATCTGGAGCTTTCTCATCCCCAAGAAGAGTTGACCCGAAAGTCTACGAAATTCGCGGTTGGATTGGGGTTTGCAGGTCCTTGTGCAGGTCCCTACAGGGAGCCTAAAAGTTAGCTCAGTTCACCAGCCCAAACCGTATGCGCCGGATGCTACGAGAATTTACGGGGCTTTTGGAAACCTAGAGTCATTGCATCACCTGAGTCATTCGGTGAAGAGGGTAATTACGGGGGTGTAGGGTTGATCACCAAACACGATCTTCTCATAGGGCTGACATGAGAAGAAAACCAACCTGACCTTGCATGCATGTCGATATAGCACTTTTACGACTGACAATCGCACAGATACACAACTGAACGAGCCTCTGCACGACCCCTCAAAAAACTGCGGGAAGTCAAGGCTGGTGGCAAAGGACTGCCTAAAGTGTAAACTATACTGAACTTAGAACCCTAGCAACAATTATCATGTCAGCTGTTTCTTAGGGATTAGAATAACAAAAAATAAAAAATACTTCTAAGTACTCCTAAGAACTGCCTAAAGTGAAAAGCCGAGAGCCCTAGAGACCTCGAGTCGGGTTAGGGTTTCGGGTCAGGATTCAAGCCATATAGGGTGGTTGTCAAAATTAGGGTCCCTTTTTTGGCGGCACCTAATATTTAGGGTACCCAAAAAGGGACCATAATTTTGACAACCACCCATATAGGGATGATGGCTTCAGGATCTATGTCTTGTAAACCCCTTCCGTAAAGCTCTAGACGAATCCAAACACGCTACTCGCTGAAGCTCCGAACCCAAGGCACCTGAAGTCAAGGGAGCTGTAGAGGGCAATGGCTGCCTCGTTCCTGCTCTGGGTTTAAGGCTGTGGGTTTTGTGTTGACTTGATCTGGTCGAGGTGTCATTTGTTTTCCGGGGGTCTTGTATCATAGGCCCCCATTGCCATGATGCTTGGGAGTGCCTTCTCCTTCAGTTTAGGGTGCTGCTTCGATGTTGTTATTTGGGATTAATGATGCAAGTAAAGCTGCCAATTCGTCCTGATTACTAGGTGTTGGATAAATCAGATTGCATTGCGAGTTGCAGAATTCAATGCTGTTATTAGAACCTTAACTAGTCCCCGCATCCTAAAAGCACTAAGACAAATGCGAATGCAATAATTCCCTGCATCTCAAGTCCGACACAAGCGAGGGCTTTCTTTTCACTGTCGCTTCCTCTTGTTCGCATGCCTCTTCGCAGCACACACCCAGGTGTACACCATAAACCAGGCTTGCATCTGAGATCTCGATTTCGCAGGCAGCATGGAAATGGAAGTGCAAGCTTCGTCCAACTGCTCTGGAGGCAATGACCCATTGTAGGATGCAGAAGTAGATGCCCTGAGTTGCTGAAACTGGTTAGGGATTGGTGAGAATGGCACATCAGTCAGCCCATCAGAAGAGTGGCCGGCATTAGTTGGGTCTCTCAATAGGAAAGAACCCTGAAGTTGGAGCCAAGTTGCTTGTTTTCATACAGCTGGCCTGCCGGGAGCTTGGCTTGGAAGTGCGGAAGCGTTCTGGTGCGATGCTGCACGTGCACAACCAAAATGTCGGATGGCATTGGAAATTTGTCCTTCAGGAACTGCGGAATCGCCACAGCATTCGAGATGCTCTTTCTGCTCTCCCTTTCTTGCTCTGCATCCATCGCCGGCACATCTGATGTGGGTGGAGGCACCTCCACCTGCAGGTAGCTGGAACCCAAATCTGTGGGCGAGATACGAAAAAGCACTATGTAGTTCTGCCCTGCTGCTGTTACTTCTCTGGCAGTCCGAAAACCACTGCCAGCTGCCAAACCGGCAAGAACAGTAAATGTTGACTCTTACCGTGCTGTTACAGACAAAACCAGACAATTCAAAGCCTCTTGACACAACGGAATTCGGACCGGGGCTGCCCCACTTGTGGGACAGGGAAATGCCTGGTCAGCATTGCCAGCGGCCTGCTCCATTGCCCGCACAACAGCCGCTGCAGCCGCCATCACCTCGTCGCTCTCATCTGGCAAAACGGCAGCCTCCTTTCGGCAGCTGTTTACTTTAGAAGTGGCTCTAAGTTACAACTAGTTTCCTTGCAATCACTTCCCGTCCTCTTCTGGCTCGCACGGGTCCCTGTCTTCGTCATCTTCCTCCTCCGGCTTCTTCTTCCGCCTCCTGTCATCGAGGGCCTTGCAAACTGCCAGCAGCTCGTCGATTCGCTCCTGAGCAACGGCCTCCTTGATGGAAGGCTGCTCCAGCAGTGCCTTGATCTTGGCAGTCTTTGTTGCATTCTTTCGGCAGCTGACATCCTGGATCTTCAGCATCTTCGACAAAGACTCGCTGGTGACCTTCACGATCTCGCCCGTCAGGATCAAGTCCAGCAAAAGGCTTCGCCCTGCCAGACTTCGCCTCAAAATGCAGCTGCTCCCAATCTTCGTGGCCAGGGGGCCTTCCAACCAATGCATGGTGTACGGGAAGACTTGAACCTGCAATCGGTTCTGATCATTTCCAAATCCACACCTTTATCTACAGGCTCACAGAAATCTCAGAATACGGGAACCCTGCAATCCTTCTGGAAGTCAAGCAAGGTCTCCATGATGATGGGCCTTGCTGAAGGGATTTCTGCAAATCGGATACCGGAGGGGTTCCGTTTGAAAGCGATGAAATGATACCACTTGCAGTTAGGTGGCTTCTTGTTGGCAAAGACGAGTGCCTTGACCGTCTCACCGTCACTCAGCGGGTCGTGGCCCTTGAGGCGTCGACTCTCAGGAGTGACCGCAGTTTCGTCCACCGTCTCGGCCGGCAAAGAGCCCTGGAAAAACATGTGGAGCTCGGTCAACGGCAGAGCCTCATTGAATTGCAGATTTCGCACAGAGGAAGGGGAGCAGGAGCTCTCACAATTCAACTTAAGCTCTACTCAAGCTGAGATACGTAGAGCAGGCCAGCCGCTTTGCCCAGTGCCATGAGCCACTTGTCATCAAGAAGCAAAAGGCTTCCTCGACCCACCAGGCTTGGCACCCACATCAGGGACTCCACATCTTCCATGCAGACATCATTCCTTACTCAGGAACAGACACCACCACGACCACCTTGCTGAATTGTGGTTTATCAATTACCACAGTCTATGCCGAGCATCTTCCTTCCCAGCAGAAATGCTCGCATCAGATTCATGTTCACTCTGGTGTGGGCATGAGCAGAGGTGCTTCCGAAATTCTTCAAGATGTCATCCACACGGAAATGTGGGCCTTGGTGCCAGCATGTTCGATGGCATGCATTCTGTTTCAAATGCGGAGGCACCACCACACATCACTTCTTTCTGAGTCCTGTTGAGGACCGATAAACTTACCTGCTGTCTGTGACTTGGAAACTCTGTTAGCTCTACTGTGTCTGCTGCATCAGTTTGTTTATTTACTGTTTGTTATTGCAACCGCTCTTCTTGTTCCCTGCCCCCTTGGCAATTGTCTCTTCAGGCGATACATTCTTTCTTTCTATCCCAATCTCTCTCACTCCGTGGGGCTTCCTTTTGCGTGGCTGCATGTTGCTTGTTTTCGCTGTTTCCGTACCAGCATCAGTTCTCCACAGCATTTCTCTGCAATTGCAACTTTGAATAAGCCGAAGTGCTGTTGATGTAGGTGTCTGCTCTCCAGACCTTGGGTTTGATGGCTCGGACTTCGTTCCCTTCGAAGTCTTCCGGAGACAGGTTGACTGCCTGTGCAGCCTTCTCACCTTTGCAGATCTTGTTTGCAACGGCACGAATGCCCAGGCACTGCACATTTGCCAGGCTTGCGGTGTTGGCCTTGCTGGCCCGCTTGATGCTGTCCTCCATGTGGTTGAAGCACTGCTCAACGTTGCAGGAACTGCTGAGGCCCGGGAACCAGCCCCGTAGAAAGGCTTCTGTGCTGGTGTTGAGTACCCAGCCCTCCTTCTCAAAGCAACTCATGACCTCCCTGTAGTACACGAACTTTGTGTGCGGGCAGGAAGACTGCATGAGGCGATGAAACTTCATGCTGTTCTCAGCCTCTGTCACCATGCCCCATTCTAGCTTCATGGCCTGCAAGATACTGTTCTTGGTATCCTGCTCTGCAGAGCCTCCATCACACTCTGCCAGCAATGCAGCTGCTTGGTGGGGCGAGCTTTGCAGATACACTTTGTACTGCCGAAGCTCGGTCAAAGCAGCCAGCCCTGCATGAACATGGTCAAACACGAGGTCCTCCAGCTCGTTCGATCGTCTCTTTGTGACTTGCAGCACCTAGGATAGCTTGGCTGCGAAAGCAAGCAGGGGAGTGTCTCCAGTGTCAGCGGAACACCGAGAAAAAAAGTATGTCGTTTGCAATGGGAAGATAATAGGAGCTCTGTTGGCTTTCTGGGTTGGAGTTTATGAACTGGTTTAGTTATTCTGAATCTGAGGAGAACCAAGACAATGAATGTGTCTAAAACTCATTAGGACCCCGGCGTGCTTCCATGTCTGCACAATATTTTATTTCAAGAATAGCACTCTCGGATACCCACTATTGTAACCATAAGTCGCGGATAGGCCGCGGTTTCTAGTGATACTACTACTAATCCCGAACCACAGCTCATTGTCAGTTTTTTTTGTTTTTCGGTTGCGGCTATTCCGCAGGAATTAATAAAGGTTTCGGACGGCCCAGGCTATTCGTACAGGTGTTGAGTTTATAATAATATCAATCTAAGCTAGGCTAGGGCCTGGCAAACTTCAGTCAGAATGGCAGCACCCCTGTCATGTGTAGAGTTGCAATAGACAGAATGGACCTATGTACCTATCATCGCTGGGTTTCTTAACTTAAGCGATAAGCACGGAGGCATGGTGCCTGTATGGCAGCATCTTTTCGGACCCACAACAAGTCGTGTGAATTTAGGGTTTATGGTTTATTTACTTAGATTATTAATAGTTTATTTAATTAGTATTTAGCTTAGTTACTAGTTAGTCAGTTAAGGTTTAGGGTTCGGGGTTATTTGAGGATTAGCCATCAGTTGAGGGCTTATTATTTAGGACCTAGGACTTTGGGGTTTAGGGGCATTCGAATTATTTCAATTTTATTATTTATTAATTATTTAATTTAGATAGCAATTAGGGTTATATTAACACTCAATTTATTTGGCGCTCAAGGTTCCTCAGCAGGGAAGCCAAGTTGGTAGTCAGTTACTTTGTCCGTCTACACACCTAGAATCTAGACTGCTGCAAGCCATTGGAGACCAGACAAGCCGAGCGGCTGTCTGGCCTTCGCTGGTCTGGGCAGGGGCAATGTCCGAAGAGATGCCGAGGTTCTCCAAAGCAACTGCCCCGAAAGTGGCCCTCATTACCCTCTCGTACTTCAGGTCGAACTTCGGCCCACAGACGAACAGGGTCTGTCTCTGCAATGCTTCCATCTCGTTGGAGTGTCGTTGCTTAGCGAGCCAGCACTCAGGCAATCGAGACACAAAACCACAACTCAGATAGCTGCAGCAGAGTTGCGAGCCACAGGCACGTGTCTGTAAACGGCTCCGACAGGGAGGACAAACTCTTGAAGAGGGCAGCGGCGGATTCGTCCAGCAATGCCTCGGTGCTTCTGCGTAAAAGCAAACACCCCTGATTTGGGTCCTCGTGCCTTCAAGCACAAATCCACGATTCTGTCGTACATGCCGGTGGCCGTCTTGGTGCTCTCGGCTGCAGCCATTGCGTAAGGGTTCTTCCCTTCCTGGTAGCTGTGGGGTTACAAACAGAAGGCTGTCACAACACAACTGTTTGCACCAGCACGGAGCTTCTCAGCTGAGCTCCCCACTTCAATGCATGCCCACATGATGACAAGCAGCTGAGCAGAGTAGTAGCCCCGGAATCCCTGACTGCAGAAACCCCACGAGCACCATCTCCCTTGCTCGTAGATGGAGCCCGTTCTCCTTGCAAGTGCAGCAGACAAAATATCCAGGGGTATGGAGTAGGGAAAGGCCAGGCCTGCTCAACTTGTTCAGAACTTCCAGCACACGGGAAAAGTTCAGGGAAGCATCTTCCGTCACAGGCCAGCCTTGCCTGACATGCCATGCAAATACTTCAAATGCACAGCATAGGTCCAAAAGTCCCGACCCTTTGCACCCGAGCCACTCTTTCAGGATGTGCTCACTGAACATCTGCATCAGCACATCATCCTTGTGGGCCTTGGCTGCTGTTGTCATGCCAATGAATTGTGCAAACAAACACGAACCTAATGCTTTAAACTTGCAAGATTGTATTCTAGTCATGGCACAATCTGCAAATACCGCCTGCAGGCGGCCATCCAGGTGTTACCCACTGCATGGGTTGCCCAAGGAGATTTCTTGGCTTTCATTAGCCAAGATGTCAGCATCTGACAGCCTGGAAACAGAATCAGAAGGACATCTTGCCAGCTCAACAACACATGCCATTTGCTGCCCGGTCTCGCTTCACCCCAGGTGTGGCGTTCAGGAACCGAAGAAAATGTGTCTGCAGCTTGTGCCTGCTCTTGCAAGAGTTTCGCATTGACTCGCAGCAGCGACAGAGCTCTGCGACGACTACCCAGCTTCTTGCAAACTAGCTGCGTTTCATCCCTGCTGAACCCGACTGGGAGGCCGAGTGCAGATAAGAATTGCCATGCACAAAACAACGGCCCGCCCTCGTCCGGATGCAGTGTCACCCGGACACCGCTCTTTGTCTCATCATCAAGATCAGGCGTGCAGACCCATTCTGCCAAGCCGCTTTCGTGATTGAAGATGAAGGCCCGGCTGCCATACATTTCACGAGTCTCATGCTTTTCGGGGTCTGCAGCCCGGAGAGAGAAAGGGAGGGGAGCCAGCTCAAGGTCGAGAAGCTCCAAGCTGTGCAGCACGGCTCGCATGTGCTCTCTGCTTGCCAGCCGGTCCTGCTTCAAGCGGCCAATGGTCCGAGGCCTTGGATTCTGAATTCGGATATAAGCATGTATTCGCCAGACAGAGACAGAGAGAGAAACACCGAGAGACAAAGAGAGAGAGAGAGAGAGAGAGAGAGAGAGAGAGAGAGAGAGAGAGAGAGAGAGAGAGAGAGAGAGAGAGAGAGAGAGAGAGAGAGAGAGAGAGAGAGAGAGAGAGAGAGAGAGAGAGAGAGAGAGAGAGAGAGAGAGAGAGAGAGAGAGAGAGAGAGAGAGAGAGAGAGAGAGAGAGAGAGAGAGAGGAGAGAGAGGAGAGAGAGAGAGAGAGAGAGAGAGAGAGAGAGAGAGAGAGAGAGAGAGAGAGAGAGAGAGAGAGAGAGAGAGAGAGAGTTTGACCTGGAGAGAGCGAGAGAGAAAGAGACAGAGATAGTGAGAGAGAGGAAGAGGTAGAGGTTAATATCTATCATTGGATAATAGGATAGGGATGGTGGTAGGGGATAGGGATAGGCTAGAGAAGACTGAGAAGCTGATCAAAGCGAGACACATCTTGGAAGCAGCTGAAGCTTCCTGCTGGAGCATTTTGTCGGCCAGGGACTGCAGTTCCTGCTCCTTCACTTCGGCCGATGCTGTCACAGGCAACAGGTCTCCAAGTCTTTGGACTGTCCAAGCAATGGCATGTGGCCCAATCCCAATGACAGGCTGCCAGACCTCAACTATTCTGAATTTCTTTCTGACACCAAGAATTCCATTGCTCTAGCTGCAATCAAAAGCTGGTCCAGATCAGCCCAGCAACATCCATCCGACCCTTGGGCGAGGCGTCGCACAAGAAAGCCATTCCCTTCACGGGCAGCTTTGCCATCTCCTGTTCCAGAGACAGGGAGGGCTTTAGGCTCCTGGAATCTACTGCAAGCCTCTGGAAAGCTTCAACCTGGGTAACCTCATTGCTTTCCAAGAAGCCTCGTGCAAGACAGTGGCTGCCTTCCGGAAATACCTGTAGCTGAAGTCGCTTGAGAGCCTGCCAGAGCAATGGAAAAATTCCAAAAGGAAACCTGTGAAGAGCAGGTGTGGCATTTTGTGCATTTGGGCCCTTGTGCATGCCTGTGCTTGTGGCTCGGCACAAACTCCGAAAGACCCAAATCTTTCAGCTCGTTGTCGCACATTTCGGAATTGGCGAAGCCGGTTTTTCTGCCCAAGAAGCGATCAAGCTGCTGGACATGCTTTGGTTTCATCTCCTTCTTCAAGAAGCGACCATCCCTCGGCTCCCCTAAATTGATTCTGCAGCTGAGCACAGGCAGCTGGAAGAACTGAGCCGAGCTGCGTTTTGCAAGGGTGGAACTCGTCCTTGCTGCTGGGGGCTGGCAACTCATTCAGGAGGCAGTCTCGCAGGTGTAGTTCGGCGCTTTGAGCGACCAAATGCAAAGCCCGCTTCTGCAGCCGCCCAGTAAGAACTCGGCCCTTGGTGCTTCAAGAATTAAACCCTCTTACAGGATGCCTCTCTTTAGAAGCAAGGCCCGAGCATCACAGATCATTTCCTGGAAGTTCGCTCGCATGATGAAGCAGAAGGCTAAGGAGAGCTGTACTCCTCAGCCCATCAGATCACTCACCAACAAAAAAAACATTCGGCAAGGTCTCTGCCTGCATTGAAGTTCTGCTGGGCAGAAGAGGCAAGCTTGAACTTCTGCCACCTGCACAAAACAAGACCGAAGCTTTCCAATAAACTGCGGAAAGCATTTGTGAGGGCCTGGGCACCCACTCAACAAACTGGAGGAAAGTCTCCCAGGATTGAAGATCCACATCGTGTCCCACACATGTCAAAGTACCTTCCAGCTTCATTCCAAGTCTGGGCTCAGCTGGAATGAGACATCTTTGCAAAGCTGATTGGGGCCCAGCAGCAAGCATCGCTCCTTGGGAGCAGTGCCAGCTTCATGTCGGCTGGGCAGCCATTCCCCAGCAAAGTTTCCAGGGACTTCAGGCTAGCCTTCTGGAGATTCTCGGAGCAGGAGCGGATCTGCAGCACACAGACTGCCTCGAAACATAAGACTCACATGCAATGAAAGGTTTCTATCTAACTCGTTCTAGATGGTCGGCCTACAAGAGTTTGGAACTCAGCTGAAGAAACAATCCTTGCAGCCCCAGTTGCTGCGAACAAAGCCCCTGGAACTGTGAAAGCATCACAGGGCAGTCTGATGTTTTGTAATCCCACATTCACCTGCTTGCCCCGGTATCCGAGTTTTCGGATGATGTGCAAGTCTAAGTTCACTCGCCATGCTTCAGCCAGTTCGCAGGTGAGATTGTCCCTCCTTGCATGTTTTCATGACAACTGAACTCACACCCACAAGGTCACAAGGCAGCTTGCTTGCCAATGCAGGCAGGTGGCAGTTTTGTGTACCAGTTCGTGAAGCTCTGCTTCCGTTGAAACATTTTCCAAATACTGCTTGCTCGAAAAAAGAGCTTGTAGCCATCGGAGCTCAAATCTCCCTGCACCTGGCTGCACATCATGTCATGTTGCTGAGTCATGAGGAGACTCTACACAAGGACACATGACAGCCACAGCAGCAGTACCGGCCTGCAGCACATCAAAAACACCAGTGTGCCCAGTAGTGGTCTGCAGGAAACGACTTGTCGTTGGAGTGTAGTCGGTCCGGACCGCATTTGCGGTGGACGAAGGCTCCTCCTCTGAACGTGGAACCCATTCCACGATCTGCTCATCTGAAGGCATCGCCGCCTTCTCCCGTACCACCAACCGAGGCCTCAGAGGCAATCCTGCAGCAGCAGCCGCCTGTCGGCAGCTATCCAAGATGTCCTTCCAGGATGCCAAGAACAGATTTTGTTCTTGGGACAGGTAGGAATTTGCAGATTGACCTGGCCGGCCTCCCAATCTGGCATGGAAAGCCGTTGATCGTGAACAATCGGCAGATCCCTGGTGATCTTCTCATCCACAAAAGCCAATTTCTTTTGAAATTGCTCTTTGTGCTTTAGCTTCTCGGCCTCTGTCTCGAGCCTTGCAAACTATAGGCTGGGGCTGAAAAGGTGTGCTATCAAATCTCGCAAACGAAGCAGCACGTTCAAATGAAGCAGCACGTTAAATTGTGCCCAGCAGCTTCTGGTGCTCCTGGAGCTTGGACCGGAGCCACGTTTTCATGCTCGCCTGCACATCAGGGTTCTGCTTGGGTTTCTGCACAACACAGTGCTGCTTGGCTCGCGTGAGTTCTGCATGAGGGCTGCGGTGCCGGGCACGTGCGTGCACCAAGCCGGTGGTGTAGTGCTCATGCAGAACGTTCGTGTGCAATGAAGCAGCACCATTTAGCGAACAGCTTTGCAAAGGCAATGGCTAGTTTAGGCGTTTAGTCGCTTAACGGTTCTGCATGAGCGTTGCGGTGCCGCGTACGTGCGTGCACGTAGCCGGTGCGGTAGTGCCCATGCAGAACGTATAACAGCAGCTCGCCGGGCGGTTTGCTCATACAGAACTCAAGAATGAAGCAGCACGTTAGACCGCCCCCGATCCGTTTCCGTTATCCAAGCAGCACGTTAGAGCTCCAAAAGCCCTGGAACAAGCCCCAGTACTAATTTATACTAAGACACACGAACCCAAGCAGAACGTTGATTCGCCAAAACACCGGGGACCAAGCCCCAGTACTACTCTTTACTACAGAGACCGCAACCCGAATCCAAGGCCCCAGGCCCCAGTACTACTTTGTACTACAGCAACCCGACTCCACAGCCCCTCGAACCCCAGGCCCCAGTGCTCTGTGTACTACAAGAAGCCCAATTCCAGGGCCCATCTCGGATTTGGGCCCCAGGCCCAGTACTCTGTACTGTACTACAGCAACCCGACTCCACAGCCCCTCGAACCCCAGGCCCCAGTGCTCTGTGTACTACAGAAGCCCAATTCCAGGGCCCATCTCGGATTTGGGCCCCAGGCCCAGTACTCTGTACTGTACTACAGCAACCCGACTCCAGGGCTAGTCCCCAAGCCCCAAAACAAAGCCGGATTCCAAGTGGGGCCTTGCACCCCAGGCCCCAGTGCTGCTGTGTACCGCAGAAACGGCAACCCAATTCAAAGAACCCTTCTGGGCCTCCTCCGACATCTTCTGCTCCCAAGCAGCCAATCTGCTGCTTCTACATCGCACAATGTACCGATGGAAAAATCTTCTTAAAATTTCACTCTTGCGGTTTATTCTGGGTTCAACTGGTATGGGCTAGAGGTTTTAGTTTCGGCGGCTATTCCGCCTTTGTCAAGTGTAGTTTACTAACTTCTGATGCAGCTGCCATGGCCTATGCAAGAGAATCCTTGCGGCTAATCCGCTTCTCTACGTACATTGCACATGCACATTCAAAAGCCTGCGACATCAGATCGATGCGGGGGAGCAGCTTTGCATTTGCCAATGAACCGATTCAACAGCAACAACAACAATAGACACAAGCAAAATGCAGCAATCACTTTGCTCCCGATTTGCTGCTCTGCACGGAACCATGTCCTGGCGGGTACTCCACAAGGCCAGCTGAAGTCCTGAACCAACTCGCACAGGCATACAAATAGAAGGCAGGACTCATCCTGTCCTCGATTCACTCACCCTTGTTCTTCTCATCACCGGCGTTCTCCATGGCGAGCAGCTGCTCGTCATGTTCCTGGCACAAAGGCAGCTGGGGTTACAACACCAAAAAGCGGCTTTGCTCACAGCACTGTCCTTCAGAATCGCTGGCCACTTGGCCAAAGCTTTCCGAGCCTTCAAGGTCAGGTTCTGGGCACAGTCCCTCGCCTGCTTGCCCAAGCTCTGGATCACCTCGCCTCTGCAAGCACATAGTCTAAGCAAGTGTGTTGTGTTTGGCTGCCCCAGAACAAGCACACACACGATAGCCTGGGGGAACATCTGAAAAGAGCTCCACGGCTTCACGGAGAGTGGTGATGTCTTCACACAGAAGCAGGCTCATGCACTGATCGGAATCGGTCCTCAAAGCGTGGATATTAGAAGCGGGCTGAAGGAGCAATCACATCAGAAACACACATGCGGATAAGCAGCGGGTTCATACCGACCAGCAGGAGCTCCAGCAAACCCATCTCGAACTTGGACCTTGGATCCTGGGCGGGGGGGTCCTCATCGGGCTCCTTCGTGCCAGCGTTGGCGGAGTCATCCTTTTCAATGGCTTCTGGCTCCTCTGCCTCAGAGGATTCCTGCAAGCAGTCCTTGGAAGCAGCTCGCTTCCTCTTCCCACTTGCTCGCTGCTTCGGCTTTCGAGCCGACTTCTTGAGAGGGCTCAGCTTGAAGCCACCATTGAAAAGATCGGGATCCTCATTGTCATCCCCTGACAAGCATGCAAACTTATCATCATCATCATCGTCATCTTCCTCTTGATCCCCAGGTCCTTCAGTGGAGCCAGTATTGGCGGGCTCTGCAAAAAGTCGCCGGGGCTTCAAGGTTGAGGCGGTTGCAGCACGGGGTGATCGCTTACACCTCCTCTTCCTAGCCCTTGCAGGGGTGCCGGGGCTGATAATGGAGCCAGGAGGCTCCTCGTCCTTGCTTTTCTGGCCTTTGCCAGCAGCCAACTGCTTGAGGTCATTCTCGGCTTCCTGCGAGCACAGCATATTCAACAAAGTGCTGAAAGGATACTGCACATGATTCAAGCAAAGCTGCGGAGTGCAACCTTTTTCTCGGCCTCTCGCCCTTTGGACTCACACCCCTCAGTGCGACCGCCTGCCACTATGCTCCTGCCATGCTCCATCATCGTAGTTGTAGTCGCTGTTGGTGTACTCATAGCCCGTGTCGTTTTGGCTGTAGTAGTAGCCAGCCTCGCGGCTGTACTGGCCACCCCTGGCTCGCTTGCACCCGTACTGCTCCTTCTCGATCTCCCTTTTGGACCTGGAACATTCAAGAAACAACTCCTATGCCGCCCTAACAGGCGTGAGGGTTTAGGGGTTTGGGGTGTAGAGGGTGCAGGGTTTAAGGGGCTAGGGTTTAGGGGTTTGGGGCCCTAGGGTTTAGTAATAAGTTCATTAATATTAATTAATTCAATTAAGGCTTGGGGCTCAAGGGTCTAGGATTCAGGGCCCTAGGAAGGCCTAGGGTTGAGGAATTAGATTATTAGGGTCTCAGATAGCCGAGAAACTTGTCCGAGGGCTCGGAGGGCTCGGAGGGCATTGAAGCCTTCGCATCCTTCTCCTCCTTCTCCTCCTTCCCCGGCGGGGGCCCCGGCGGGGGCTTTCTCGCCGCGATGACCTTGGGCGTCGGCTTCATCTTGGGCTCTGTCCCCTGCGGCACAGCCGCTGTCTTCTCCTTCTCAGCATTGCAGGCCACATCTGAAGCTTCCGGAACCAGCGGCTTCGAATCTGCAGGCTTGCCATCGGACTCCTTGAGCTCTGCTGCTTCTGGCGTAGTGACATCTTCAGGCTTGCCAGAGGCAGGGTGAGCGGCAGACGGCTTGTCGCCCTCATCATCTGAGCTTGGAACCTCCTGGCTCACCACAGGAGGCCCACCCATTGGCCCCGGCGTCGTGCCGGGCATCGTGCCGGGCGAAGGCCCCGGCATTGGCCCCCTCTGCGTGGCCGGTCTGTAGGCCCCGGCATTGGCCCCCATCCACCCACCAGGCATCGGCATGGGCGGCCTCATCATGCTGGGTGGCGGCATCCACTCGGCAGTCATCGGCATGGAACCCATCGGCGGCACTGCCGGAGGAAACATGTGCCAGGGGAACCATGGGTTCCACATCAAGGGCGACGGCATGCCCGCAAGGCCTCCATTGGGGCCTGGGAAGCCGGGTGGCCACATGGCTGAGTCACCGGGGCTTGAGAGGAAGCCTCGGAGACGTGTCTTCACAACACAACCACTACTACTTGCATACTACTACTACTACTACTACTACTACGACTACTACTACTACTACTACTACTACTACTACTACTACTACTACTACTACTACTACTACTCCTACTCCTTCCTACTACTACTACTACTACTACTACTACTACTACTACTACTACTACTACTACTACTACTACTACTACTACTACTACTACTACTACTACTACTAGTACTACTGTTGATGATATAAATCCTGCATTACCTTAAGGACCCTAAACTATGGAAATAATGGCATATTCCTTATTATGGGTAGTGCAGGATTTATATCATCAACCGTAGTACTAGTACTAGTACTAGTACTAGTACTACTACGACTACTACTACTACGACGACTACTACTACTACGACTACTACTACTACTACTACTACTACTACTACTACTACTACTACTACTACTACTACTACTATTACTACTACAACCACTACTACTACTACTACTACTGCTGCTACTACTACTACTACTACTACTACTACGAATACAACAAATACTACTACTAGAACTTCAGAAGAGAACTACTACTAGAACTACAACTAGACCTACCACTACTATTACTACTACCACTACTACTAGTACTACTACTGAAAAAAAGTGGTGGGGGCGACTAACACAACTGAAACTGCCACTACTGCTACTGCTGCTAACATCGACTAGACATGATTACGATTCGGGCACCACAGGATTGTATTGATCACTTCGCCATCACTACGAATCAGCCACCATCTTTAGTAGAATAAAAAGTTGACTTCTCGAGTAACACCTTCGAGCCTAGTGAAATTAGAACTCTGTAGTCTGAACACCGCATCATCAATGCAAATGGCAGTGTACATGTTTAGTAGTTCTTTTGGACCAGACTACAACTATTTATAAAAATAAGTGATTCATTCATTGATAACCTAATAACTAGTCAATGAAATAATCGTTTCATTAATTGATGGTCACCACGATCCTATTGAAATTAGCGGTATTTATTGTTTGTAATTATTTAACTAATTAGTTGTGCGGACTCTAGACTAGTTGCAAGACTGCATAAGACTGTACTCGGTGGCCATTCAAACGTGACAACTGCAAGAACTGCACCCTCTGCACATCTCGGTCCTGGTGCAGCCTGCTCAAAAGCTCGTCGTAGCAACGGTTCATGTCATGCTTGTTGATGCCCTCCTTCCTGCATCCAGGGAAGACAGCAACACATGATAAGCACAACATTGCAGCAATCTTGCAAGCAAGTCTGCTGCCCTTAGCAAACGAACTCACAAACTCGTTCCTGGCGTGCTTCTTCGCCAGGGACTTGTACAACGTGTTGATGTCATCCAGCGTCTTGCAAGACGTGATCTTGATCTGGGCTTGGCTCTTCCCGGTGACTCGGTTCAATTCACCAATGAACACTCTGCAATTTGCAACATGGCAAAGCTAGCCGAAAACAACTTGGTGCAGGAACCAAGGCACACAGCACCAACACCTGATTCAGCCTCTTCCTCCAGAGGGTCTGGGCGGCCTTCACCTGCAAGGACTGGAGTAAAGGTAGCAGAAGGCTCTGGGTTTGCTGGTTGTGATGACACACACACAAGAAACTCAGGGCTGTGGGTTCAAGACTGCGAAAATCCATTTGGTTCAGGAAACTGAATCATGTGCGGCCTTGCGAAGCGAGGAATTCTCTGCATCTTTATCCTTCTGTCTCTTGCACCTCTTGAGGTTGTCGCAAAGCAATGACTCCTTAGAAACAGCACCGAACGAGAGACAACAGGAGCGATCACATGTTTCTCACAATCAGTCTTCACTGCATGCTGCATCCTTTGCAAATAAGGCACACTCTCGCCACCAACTGCAACCAGGTCGGATGCCACTACACAAGTTGCGACCCCGCACAAAGTGTATGCGAGCTGCTGGCAGCTCAAGTCCTCGACCTTGTTTTGGTCCAACGACCTCTGCAGCTCCTTGTTCAGGAGCCGGAAGAGGCCCTGCTTCTCCTCCTGACCTTCCCCAGTCTCCGTGCTGGACTCCGGCGATTCGGAGTTGGAACTTTGGCCTGCCAATGCACGGATGCCTGCCGTTGGCACATGACAGAAGATCGGTCCTTTTTTGTTCTTCTTCTCTTTCTTCTTGGTCTTCTTCTCGGCCTTCTCCGGCTTCTGTCCTGCATCGAAGCGAAAAGGGATCATGTAATGTAAAGTTGACCAACAAACAGCTCCAACAAGGATTTCCAGGGCTTCTGTCCCATGGGAAAAACTGCTGCACATGGCCGGCCTGTGCGGAGAACCTGCTCCATGGCGGCTTTCGCCGTACCCATCAGGAAGTGCGAGGCACTGGGCGGGGTAGCCGCCTCACCGGTGCCCTCCGATGTCAAGGACCTCGTGGAGTTTGTCCTGACAATGACAATCATCAAAGCCAAGACCCTAGGGACTTCTACAATTCAAGGAGTTGCGGGGCTGGATTTGGGTGCTTCTACTGCAGCTTATGCGGCTAATCCGCAATTTCGCATAAGTAGTCTTAGCTAATCCGCAATTTCGCCCATAATAAAATGCGGCTACTAATTCGCAGAACCTACACTACATAGTCAGCCTAAACTGCGGCTATTCCGCAAAGTTCGCACATCCATTGCCTTCGTGGCTTTATTAAGTTATTCTAAAGACATTGGTGCCTGCTGATATCGTAAGAACCAGAATTTGCTACTTTGGGGGGGGGGGGGGTGGAACTGAATCGCAAGCCCTCTTAAATTGAGATTGAGCTCCCCAACACCAATCATATCACCGGACAAACCATTGTAGGTCTTACTGTCTGAACAAAGGGATTATGCCCATCACTACCACAACCAAACTTCACTGACTGTCCTCCTCGCTTTTACCCCCGGCACCATGACGGGAGGCCAAGACTCGCTCTCTGGATCCAAGGAGCAGCTGTGTTTGTCCGTCACACAGAGGCACACACACACAAAAGCGTGTGCAAACCAGCTACAACTTGCTATGCGGATACGAGAACTTCCCGAAATGACTGTCAAAACAACCAACCAATGCAAGAACCCAGCCCAAAACCTGGAAAGCACTGCCAGCAGGTCTCAAGCACATAAGAGTGATCTTTTGAGCAACATGTGTGGGCATCCAAGAGGCTGCCGAGTTCGGCCATAATGCACGAATTTCAGAATGCCCAAGTCGCCTCGTTCTGCATTAATTACCAATTGTTGGCCACGGCATAAAGCCACAATAGGGCAGCAGTACACAACTGTCCCATTGAGCCGTGCCTCAGAAGCACAATCCACCACATGAGTCTTCGTCTGCATTGCACAAGACAAGACGGGACACAACAATAAAGACAAACTCAATTGCCGCCACAGGGCGAGCAAGATCTGCTGGTGGGCGAGCATACCACACGGGAACCTGAGATAGAAAAGCGCTTAAGCACGTCGGTTGCTGGAATCTCTACCAAAAAGGTGCTTAGGTCAATGATGCAATGAACAAAAGTCACTGGAGCAACGGGATTTACACAAGCAAGAAAGTCACAAGGATGCAGCGATTCCCAAAGCTTCTACATCATGAGAGAGAGAGAGGGAGAGAGATTTGCAAAGTCCATTGGGAAGTTATTTTGTATTGTGTGCGACCAAAGAACGGGCACCTAGGCACCCAGTATCTCCCAAATCTCGCCATCATGAATGACAGCGGCCGGCGGGGCCATTGGACCGTTGCCAACGGCAGGGCCGAGCGGATATCGAATCCAGCGAGCCTTGTGAAACACAGAGCAAGCACAAGCACATCAGAATGCATGGTGGGCCACTTCCTTTGCAACACTCCCAACTCATCACAGACACTGCTATGGGATTCCAATATTCAGACAGGCAGCAGGAATCTCTGGAACCACCAGCCTCCGTCTGCGGGCTGGCGGAACAAAGTCCACAACATCTTCATCATCCAGAAGCCGTTGATCGTTGTCCTGCTGTCAGCAAGCAAAAGTAGTTGTGAAAATATGGCAGCCCACCAGCACCAAATCCGGAGCAGAGGCTAGCCTCGTGCACCAAAGTAGTCAAGACAGTAGCCAGTCGATCGTGCAGGGAGGCCGCCAGTAGATCTGGAGAAACGGATTTCCGGAGTGTCAACAACAAGGCCACCTCAGTAAGAGCCATTGGGTGACACAATATAAATAACAAGTGCTACCTAATACCCACATCTCCCAAAGACCAGAGCTGTCGAGAAACAGCACGACCAAACGTGCCCGGATAGGCCTGCGAAGCCTGCATTGTCCCACGTTTCCCTGAGAAGCCGCCACCCTCCTTGCGATCGCACAGCCTCGACGTTGCTCGAGATAGAAACCTCACACAGAAGTTTCTGGGTTGATGCCGAACACAAAGTATTCGCAGATGCAAGCAAGAATCGCACGATGAAGCTCGGGGTGATCCCCCAAATACCGGAGGCAGGTCAACATGAATGGATCTGACCCAATCAATTGCGTGGGCTTCCTCGGCTGGTCCGAGTGATATCGTAGAAAATCCCAGCAACTGTGGGTGCAAATGCCTACCAATCAGATCGGCCTAGAGTCGGGCTGGCAGCTCCAAAAGCCCCCATCCTGAAAGTTACACGAAGGTGACCACATCGATGAAAGATGTCCTGATGTTCTTCATGCATGTATGCATATAGAAACAGATCAAATTCACAGGCATGTCAGTGTGATGCAGGTCCCGCATGGCCCTCAACTGGGGCATATAAGATGCCAAAGGCTGCTCGTAGATGCTGAAGATGCCGGCGTGGTAGCAGAAGAGCTGGCACTGACTATCGAACTCCTGGGCTGTATTCGGATACCCGCCATTTGCTACAGACTGCCACAATGAAGTCTCTATCTGCCAGTCAAGCTGCTGCAATTTCATTGCCCTGAGCAACCGAGGGCAGCGACATACTCCCCATAGGATCCAGGTGCCTTTGCCTTGCCACTGGCTAATTAGGAGACCTATGCAGCAGCAACCTACTGCATCGAAACGACATCTATTCAGATAAGTTTCGTTTTCCCCACACAAATGTTCACGAAGCTGCCGCACTTCGGTGCGGAAAACCGCACACCTCCAAGCTTCACCGAAGCCAAAAGCCGCAAGCCTTGAGCAGTTTGGAAGCTCCCAAACGGACACACCATGAAACACACAACTGCTCCATCAAAGCCGAATCAAAGCCAAACCAAGACACACTGAAGTTTGCCTTCGTGCGTGAGCACATCGTGGGTCGGGTCCCGAACGATATCGTACACAGCTACCGTAAAGCCAGCCTCAGATGGATTTGTGCAAAGTGTTCATTCCAACAACAACAACAAAACATAAGCAACCTTCCCAGAACATGTCAAGCTTTGGCAAAGGGGCTTCCTGCACTGCACTCGAAAGCCGTCCTCGGCCAGCATAGACCTCGAAGAAGTCCAAAAAACGATGCTGGGCACCTGCTGCCATATATTCGGCAGTGAAAACCTGGGGGGCAGCTTCCTCCAGGAGTTGAAGAAACGAAGCCGAAAAAGCTTCTCGAGAAACCATGGCTCCAATCTGTTATCGCTTATGAAGCTTACTATTGATGGCCACCTAGGACTCCTCGATATTGTGTGCACGTCTGAATGTACAAGATGCAAAGCCTGAAATCTGGAGCCATGGTGCTGCCTTCCACAAAGAACATGCTAATCCTACAACCAAATCCCAAACCCCAAGCAGAACGATAAACTGCACGAGCACGGTGTCTGAAGCAGCGTGTCTACGGGGCCCTATGATTGTAGTTTTGTGCGGCATATCCTAAACCCTAAACCCCTAAACCCTAAACCCTAAACAACCCCTACACCCTAAACCCCTAAACCCTAAACCCCTAAACCCTAAACCCCTAAACCCTAAACCCCTAAACCCTAAACCCTGAACCTTAACCGGATGGTTTAAGCAAGTGGGTGCAACATGGTTCCAATCAGCATTCGAAGCCCTAAGAAACGGAGCTCAGCAGAATACAGTCCTAAACCCTAAGGGTCCATGTACCCATATAGAGATACATGGCCCCAAAGTACCTATATAGGGACTACATTAAGGCCTTTGTATATACTATATGAGTACATGGACCCTTAGGGAAAACCTCTCAAGTTCGGGGCACAGCCCCGAGATCTGATTCCAGAACTAGTTGGCAGTTTCCAAACATCGGGGACCCTAAAAAAGTACCCCCGGAATGGTAGGATCCTTATTATAATTTTCGGAGATTCCCATATCTGCACTGCTAAACACCGCATCTTCTAGACTCTCAACCCAGCCGTCTGCTCAGAATTACCCAACTATGACAAAGGTACATCAACAGTGAACCTTCACTTTGGAGCACTCAGTGACACGGCCCTCGCACAAACCCTAACACCACATCAAACCGTGAGCTTTGCTACACTTATCTCCTAGACCGCTCAGCACAGGACCCGGCAGCTACCTTCAAATCCATGGCAACACAAGAAGCCCGGACAATGCCGGACACCATCTACCTAGGCCTCTAGAAGCCGTGCCAATAGTAACACGATTAGTATCGCCAATGGTTGAATCAATACATCTGGTAGTAGCAAGAATGGAGATGAGCCTGGTAGTGCTCTACAACCATACCGCTCCTCATCAAGAATATTATGCCTTGGTCCCTAAAGACCCTATCCCCCAAACACTAAAGCCGCTAAACCCTAAACTCTGACTTTAAACCCTCTCCCCTAAACCCTAAAGCCTCTAAACCCTAAGCCCTATCCCATAAACTCTAAAGCCTCTAAACCCTGATCCCTGAACACCAAAGCCCAAATCCTAAACACATACCCTAAGGGGCCAAGTAGTCCCTAGATTTATGGTTTTGGGTACCTGATAAGGCACTAAAGTCCTATAAACCCTAAACCCTAAACCCTAAAGTCCTATAACCCTAAACCCTAAACCCTCTGGGATAAGCCTCCAAACCCCCGATCCTCACATGCACATGAAGGCTCAGCTTTCGAATGCCACGTTGTGCTGCCTCCGATATCCTTGGCAGGTGGGTGGTTGTCAAAATTATGGTCCCTTTTGGGGTGCCCGAAATATTAGGTGCCGTATTATAATTGGGATCCAAAAAGGGAACCTAATTTTGACAACCACCCAAGGAGTGAGGCCTGCTGGGACTGAGGCACCCTGCCGTGTACCATACTCCGTACTCCGCAGCCCTAGACTATACTGAACTTAAACAGCAAAAATTACAATTTTAGCTGTTTCTTAGGGATTATAATAACAAAAAATACAAAACTATTTCTAAGTACCCCTAAGTAGAACCTAAACTCTCAACCCTGAGCCCTGAAGCGACTAGAACCCTGGACCATACCAGAACCCCCCAAAGGGCCCTTTAATAGATCGCTTATGCTCCTGAACGGTGGGTATTTAGGGTAGATTAGAGGGTAGTTGGGGTGTCCAGGTGAACCCCCGACCCCCAACCCTAAACCCTAAACCAACCAACCTACACCATAACTCTCTGAGCCTTCAAGGTTTTCGTGTTCTGCGGCTTTAAGCTTGGAACCCACAGGCTCGGAAAAAAAAAAAACGGTAACTACCCTGAGGCTCCATAGTAGTTCCTTTCTAGGGTTCATATCTAGACTCCTATAAGGTAGTCCCCAAAAGGAGCTGCTTTGGAGCCCATGGGTACAGTAAGGCAACAAAGTAGGCCCTGTAAAGCTCGAACTGGGGAGCCTTCCAAAACACGACAAGCTAAACCCGGTCTAGCATTCGTTCCCAGAGATCCCAATACCCCTTAATTAAGGAATATACCTTAAATTATAGAGGCTTTAATATTATGATTTAAGGTATATTCCTGAATTAAGGGTTATTGGGTTCACTGGGTTCTTTGCCAGGGGCTAAACTCGCAGTCACCTTGGCAGCGATGGCTTCCATCGCCTTCTTTCCGAACTTTGTCCCGTGCTCCAGCTGGAGGGCTGCGGTGGCCTAGAAGGCTTCGCGTTTCAACCTTGACAATAGATCCAAGCACATAAGTGCGCCGACGGTAATGCGCTCTTCTGAGGATATCCGCACATGGGACTTTCCGGAAATAGGGGACCCTAATATAATACCCTAAATAGTAGGATCCATATCATAAGGACCCCCATATAAGGTACCCCTATTTTCGGAAACTCCCACATCTGTCTCCCCGAAATGGGCCGGGAATTCCCTCCTCGCAATCCGAAGCCCTCGCCCCGGTTGGCACAGACGAGCTGGTTCGTGTCAGCTGTCGCGTCAGGGACATCACTCTCAAGACATCCAGCCAGTGGCTCCAAGTATCTTGCCCCGGGCTGGTTTGTAAACTTCATTGTCAATGACGACATTGCACCCTCGGATGGGGCATTGAGCACAAAAGGTGCTGCCTCATCTCGGCTAGGGGCCTTGAAGTGCGGCACAATGGAGCAGATCCTTTGGACGCCTGGGTGAACTCCCAAGTACTTCACTCCACCCGAGGACTCTATAGGGTTTAGGGCTTAGGGATGCAATGTAGGAACCCGATTAAGAAACATTGGGTCTGTATTTGGGTTCCTTCTCTGAACCCTACTATTTTGTGGATATAGGGCCAGGGGTTCTTAATCATGTTCCTGATGTAGTAATACATGAAATTACTTGGGTTTAGGGCCGAGTCAAGAGTTTAACCGGTGAGAGACGTGGACTGAGACTGTGGGATAGTGCTAAGACAAGCGTACGTCCTACCCCTGGCAAGGCCACAGCCATGCGTGAGACGAGCTTGCTAGTTGCACGTCGGGTTTAAGGGCTTCGGTTTTAGGGTTGCTATGCAGCCCCGAAAGCCTGCAAAGCTTTACCAAGTTGTATTCACATTGGAACCCTAAACCTTAAACCCTAAACAAGCGCGTCTGCTCTGCTGCCCAGAGGCACGGCACGCAAAAGCTGGGAGCCAATGCCTCGCCGCCTTGGGAGGAGCAACACGCAATCTAATATAGGAACCTGATTAAGAAACCTTTGGCCTTGACTGGGGTTCCTTATATGCAGCCTACTATTTTGGTGGTTTAAGCCCACGGTTTCTTAATCAGGTTCCTACATTCGGGCTTGAGGAGTTGGGTTTCGGGCTTAGGGCTTAGGGATGCTTAGGGTTGTAGGGGTTGGTTTAGGGCTTGCAGGTCTGTTTTTTTGGGGGTTTCAGGTGTAGGCAAGGCTTACAGAGCTTAAAGTTTCAAACTCTCGGATTCAGGAAGGTGCGGTCCAGGACGTCGACTCCACAGTCCTAAACAGGGATGCTTGGCGTTCGGGGGCCCTTTGCTCTTTGTTCTTTAGGGCCTGTGGGCTTTGGGGTAGCACCCGGCGTGGAGCCAAACATGTGATAGCGTTCAGCTCACCGTGTGCTGAGTCCTAAGGCTTTTCAAACCCGCACCCAGAAACCCGAAACTCTGAATTCCAAGCCCTGAACCCAAAAGCCAGACAACCCTTACGGTTGATGATATACATCCTGCAGTACCTTAAGGACCCTTAACTATGGGAATTCTTGTATATTCCTTATTTTGGGTAATGCAGGATTTATATCATCAACCGTTAGCAGCAGAGACCAAAGACCCTGAACCCCTCAACCTGTAACCGAAGCCTTCCCGCCACACTCGCGGCTACTTTGACTCCCGATGATAGCATGATGGTTCATGTTACTGTAACTATTATTTATTGTTGCTCTAATTGCTACCACATTACGGTTCTTTCTACTCCAAGTACTACCACCACTACTATTGCTGCTGCTACTACTACTACTACTACTACTACTCCTACTACTACTACTACTACTACTACTACTACTACTACTACTACTACTACTACTACTACTACTACTACTACTACTACTACTACTACTACTGCTACTACTACTACTACTACTACTACTACTACTACTACTACTACTACTACTACTACTACTACTACTACTACTACTACTACTGCAACGACGACGACTACTACTACTGTACTGCTAGTACTAGTACTACTACGACGAGGACGAGGACGAGGACGAGGACGAGGACGAGGACGAGGACGAGGACGAGGACGAGGACGAGGACGAGGACGAGGACGAGGACGAGGACGACGACGACGACGACGACGACTACTACTACTACTACTACTACTACTATTACGACGATGATTGTGGTTAGAATAACAACGACAATGTCACTAATTATTATCTCACTGGCCCAAAACCCAAGGAAATAACAGTTGAAACTTTCAGAATTGACTACCTTATAAGAACCCCAAAAGTTGAAAAAAATTGAGTTTACAGCTAATAACAAGCATTATTGATTGAACCCTAAACGCTAAACCCTAAACCCTAAGATTATTACTACACTCGGGGTCCCACGGCACGGCAGCGACGAGACTCTGAACTCGCAGCCCACCCTCCATCTCCTTTACCAAACACTGCTTATGGGCTTACCCAGAGGCTCCATAGTAGTTCCTGTTTGGGATTACCTTATAGGATTCTATATATGAACCACAAAAAGGAACTACTATAGAGCCTCTAGGTAGGGAATTAATGTTTAGGGCTTGCAAAG